ATAAATATAAAAATAAATAAACACTTTATATGAACCCAATCTGGGAGGGGAAAAAAGAGATGAATTATAAGTAAGAGCGGTCACCTGTTATGAAAGCGCCCCAGAATGCCACATGAACTCTATCTAGTGCACACATGCATGAGGTTTTTACATAACTCCGATAGTCTCGGCCCACGAAGGTAGGCCTTACGTTGAGATCAAGGACGGGCGCTACACGTTGACCTGTTTATTTTCAGTTGACCCCAACCAGGTGCGCGGGGGCTCTCGTGGCCTAGAGGTTAAGGTGTTGGCCTCTCATTCAAAGGTCCCGGGTTCGAATCCGGCTAGCAACCGAAAACTTTTCTTCTCTACAATTGTCTCATTTCACCTCCTAATTCCTGCTCTCTAGCAATATTCTGTCGTCTGCTTTCGTCTCCTCTTTCTGCCCCCACTCCCTCACCTCCGTTGCCCCCTCCTCTGGACTCCTGACTCTTTCTGCAGCCTTTCTACTGCTACTCCTTGACTCTCTCTTTCAGCTGTCTTTCTGCCACACCCCTGGTCTTCTGGTAGGAAAGATCTACACCTAGCCTTCTCGGACAAGGGCGAAAAATCTCGGAGGGCCCGTGTTCGAGTTGCACACGTTAAAGATCCTTTGGTGGTAAAAAATCGATAAGAGTAGGCTTCGGCCGCCACCCGGGCAAAATTCAAAATCTCCTACCACCTAAAAGTATAAGGTGTGTCCCGTGCGCTCATATGGCCTTATGCAGTTGCGAGCGCCGTACACTTACCCACCCCCCCCAAAAAAAAACAACCAAAAAGAACAAAAAACAACAACAACAACACGGTACTTAAATGTTAGTTGGCCTAAACAAATCGACGGGACAATTCGACGAGTGGGTGGTTGGTGTGTGCTCTGGTGGGCTTTGCTTCTTCATTTATCCTATCAAACATCTATATCGTCCTTCCCTCCTTTTTTGTGTTTGTTAACTCTCTTGTAACGCTTCTAATCTTCGGATATGACCGTATTGTGTTGCAAGTGCCGTAAAACTCTTACTAAAACTAAAACAATTCGACGAAGTTAATTTACTTGTATACGGGCTGTCCAGTTCACGGGTGTCTCTCTTATTTCTACTTCACAAGTTTCAAAGTTTTCTAAACTAACATTTAAAAACAACAACA